TTTATTTCGAAGGGACGCATCGGTCCTTTGAGTAGAGAAGTTCAATATTGACTTTCAAAATTGCTTTAAACTGCAGCCGATAATAATGGCGTGAAAGGAAGTTTCAACCCTATGGCAATGGTGGGAGGTTACAAATGCTTTCTCAGAGTCAATTGACTAAAGTGTTGTTAGTCGCCTCGCTTATTGGCATGTCCTTCAAGTTTTCTGGGACGATAAGACTTCGACTGTCTACTGTCTGTAAAATAAATATTGATTTTTGCGCCGTTGCTAAATAAGGCCTTGTAATATCTACACAGATTATATTAATGGCGCATAACTAATTTTTATTCATCAACGTCTGCTACCCGACAGACGTTGTCCTGTCTTAACTATGAATATTTTTCCGACCCAAATATCGGCCAATAGAATTGCGCCATTCGACGTCACGTGGTACAACCTACATGGTATTATACTGAAAATTTTTTGTGAAAATTTTCTCTGGTCGTTGCTTCAAGAAAAGTATTAAGTAGTTGTTTTATTCATTATGAAATTCTTATTTGTTAACTGTACATTTCGTCTCATGGTGCAATTCTATTGGCCGACATTTGGGTCGGAAAAATAATCCCCCGAATACCACGCGAGCTTCAAAATTATCGGGTATTTCCCGATAGGTTCGTTGCAAACAATTAATATAGTCGTCATGACGACTATAAGTCGTGGTAAGCTCTTGTGGTATTACATATGAATATTGATTTCGAATTGGTATAATTAACTAAACAAATATTTCAAAAACAAAGTGTTAATTATTCTAATGCTTTATGATACACAACATTCTTTGTTTGTTTTTCTGGCGCGTATATAAATAGTTTTTTTTTGGTATTCCGACAACAGATGTATTTTATCAATATAATTGTTTTATTTGCATTTCATCAATATAATAACTCCGATCGAAGCATTTGTTTTAAACGATATTCATTTTTCTTACATCCTCTTTGACGATATTTGCAGCACGCATTCTGTCTATGTTAGTTATGTCAAACGCCATAAGGTTAGATCAAAAAATTTTGAATTATAAAAGCGCTATGCACTGAAAAAATAATTTCTCTATCGTAACAATAGTCAGGATTACTTAATATGGTGGTTAAGTATTCTTAAATTTTCTAATTTTCCGCACAATTTTATATAATATTAATTTTTCCATCTAATAATCCATGAGAACCTTCTCCTGACAATAACGAACACAACAAAAAAAGAATTAGCGAAATCGGTCCAGCCGTTCACGGGTGATGCCGTGACCAAGGGAAATAGGGATTCATTTTTATATAATATATAGATATAGATGGACCATTCATGACGTCGTATTACTATATGTATCTCAACATAATACAACCTTTATAACATAGTCAAATTGATAAAAAGACTTAAATTTGATTAATATTGCCCCTTCAGCCTGAACTTTATTCAGTACACAATTTATTAATCAAGTTGACTATGCATACAGCTGCAGCTAGATCTTAATTTAACAATAATAATAGCTTCCTTTTACTTGAAAATCTCACCGCAGCTATCAAACTTGGAACTAGCTAATTGGCTAAGTTTAAAAATGTTCAGTCAAATTGAAGTTTTAGAAGGTGGTGATAAATACCTATCATAAGTATTTTCAAACTTAATAATTGAAAGTCATCAAAAATATTAATATTTTGTGAATATCATCGTGTATTTTCTCCGCACACGTATTTCATGATAATCAAAAAATAACTTCGATAACAGAATTGCATTCTATGAATCGTGTACGTAAGTTTAATAAAGTATTAGAATAATTTGTACTTTTTTTATACAACAGAATAACAATTGGGTTTGTTTTTTGTCTTGAAATCAAGTCTCTAAAAGAAACATTTTTTAAAAATAATATATAATTGTTTATTAACATAATGGTATTATAAATAGAAATGTAGCAAAACGGAAACTCTTTTAAAATGGCATATTTATAACAGTCTCCATCAAACAACGCAGTGTTTACAAATGTATAAGTACCTAATCAAGAACCGTACATTTTAGGACAAAAACATAGACAAGACCCAGGAGACAATTTAAAACGCACGCGTCAGCGACCCAATCGTTTACTGATTGATCGCTAATGTTTTGCGTACTGCAATCACAGTTTATGCAATATCACAGTTGCCAAAATACGTAAAATATTTTATTTTAAATGGTTATAGAATTGCAAAATATAGATTGAAATCAAATGTCTTAATTCTATATTCTGCTGTTGGAGTAGAAGGGGCTTGTGTAAAATGAAGACAATATAAATACCTTCTTTACCTAATATAAATTATTTATATTTTTTCTTTATTTACGAAAGCTTGCCAACGCTTGATATTAAGGAATAATTCAAGATTTAATGCGACAAGCACTTATAACAAAAAAACGAGAGAGAAAAGTTATAAAAAATGAAGGAAAATTGATTTCAAAGTGTGAGCAATGGTCTGGATATCCATTCTAGTTTTGGTAAAAAAAAAGTAACTTTTTATAATATAGTAAAGAACTAGTTATATATAGTATATGTAAGTTACAATTTGACAACTTTATTGATTAAACCCTGTTTAAATTCACCAATAACAGTCAAAAAGGTATATTGTTACTACAAACACCGGCAACTGTGGGGGGTAAGAAGACGCAATTCAGGCTGTCGCGGCGCGTACAGCCCGGGTCGACGGCCGGAGCCGCCCGGGGGGGCAAAGGGGGCTTTACACTTCCGCCTTGCTGCACTCATTTCCGCATAAACAGTGCCTACCGCACTCTACCGACAGCTATCATAGGCCTATCATCATTAAGATATTATAATCTTTAGCTGCTTTAATAAAATTAACAGCGAGTACAAATGCAGTAAAAATAAACCTGGGAAGGCGTAGTTAATTTGTGTTAAAAGGGATATATGAAATAGCAAAAAGCGTACACATTCCTGAAACACTTTTCTTGTGTTCATCATTTGTGAAAAAATACTTTGTTAACTGTATCCTGCGTTTGAAACGTATTTCGTTTATGTTTCGAAAAAAAGGGTTATTAATTTGGACGAGTCGAAACTAACTTCGAGATCGCGATCGTAATCTCAAAATAACTGTAATAGTCATGTTAAACTTATTATGATCACAGATTTGAAACTGAAACGAAATGTATTAAATTCCTTTACATATTGTTTCACTATTTTATCGCTTTCGTGCTTTTAGTTCACTTTTATTGAATTAGATGTGGTTCAATAAAAGTCTTTAACAAACTTCATGTAGCAACTAATCAGCGCAAATCCAGCGAATTAAAACAAGGAACGCAATTTAAAGTCCCTCTTAAAAGTTTCGAAAGCGAAGGAGTGTGGGTGAAATAAAACAAAGGAAGGCGCGCGCCGCGGCACTCACTGTGAGTGCTCTGCTTTGTGGCAGGCCGGTACAATGTAATAGGCGATACACGCTGGCATACCTTCACCACAGTGCGAATGCGAACAGTATCGGTTATTAAAACGTTTCGGTGTTATTGAGAATTATAGAAATACAATGTAAAGCCGAGCCAATCAAATGCGAGTTATGTTATTAATATAATATTTCGGACAAGAAAATTCGAATTATTCATAGTTTACTTAACTGCAGACATGGAAACTATTAATATAAAATGCAAGCTAAGGGTGAGATTCGGAAACGACACTTAGCACGAACTTAGTAACCCTTAAAAGAAAAAATAGATACTAGAAGCACTGATTCAATATGACTAATATTTTTTATTCCATTTAACAAATTTTATTCTATTTGTTGAAAACTTTATTCAAAATATAAATAAATGTTTCCTAGACCGTGAAACCTAATTGAACTTTATTATTTATTCAATAAAATGAAACAACGACAAAATAAATAAAAAACTATTTGTAAAATTAATATAGTTCTCTCTGTAAATATACGAAGTGTTCCGATTATTAGAATTGTGATAATAAATTAATAATTAGCTCGCCACGACTACTTCAAATGACCAAGCGCGTATAAGCGTATTTGCTATCGTGTTACTGTTCATCACATCACGTGTTCTGTCTTACGGGGCTCAACCCTAGTTCGGTGATACGGCTTACTCCTATGCTCCGTGAAAATACTATCTGTCTTTGACATTTCATTTCATGTACACTTTCATTTCATAGCCTCTATTTGCTTTTAATTCCGTACTTTTGAAATTCATCCCCATATGCAGTAGTGTTACCTAAGGGTTGCTTTTAACATTTGACATAACCTACTCAAAGCAGACAAAGAACAATTTCACTGCACTGTTTATTCTCTCTTTGTGAAGTTGTAGTTTTTTCATTTTTTCTGATAAGCACTGCATACGAAATTAGCCTTGCTATGTTGTGAATGCGTATACAATTCTTTATTTATTCGTATAATAATCATAAAATTCTATTCTAGTGACTTGACACGAATATGTGAATTAAATTTTAATACACGCTCGCTGGAAATTTTTAAATAACTTGCACACACCTGTTTCTTGGAGATAATATATCTAAAGGGGATAACTGATATTTCGTATAAAAATTATGACTGTCTAAAAGTAGGAGCACTTTCACATTGACTTTATTTATTTATTTATAAGTAATCTTACAGCTACACCTATCCATATTATAAAAGAAAACACTTAAACAATATAGAGCCAAAACAGATTATATTGAAAAACAAAATATATGAAACCGAAAACATAAGTACATTAATAGATAAAAAAAAGAAACTGAAAAAAAAAGCAACCGAAATTTGCTTATAAACCTTCATTTAATCTAGCTATCAAGAGCTAAGTCAGAAGCCCAAATGACCAACAACCAACATTAACAAAAAGTCGCGAGATTTCGCTTGTAATTTAACAAATTACAATAATCCTTTATAAAATGTAAAAGTGCAACAAGGTCTACGTGCCTGATAGGATTAGTCTGAGAAAAATAACCGTTGTCTGCGGGAGAAGCGTGCTTGAAAACAGCTGAGATCATTAGTGAGGGAGCTCTAATGAACCACTCGATCGCGACGAAGATCTGCACTAACTTATCGAAGATCTCCAGGTGAATAAACAGATTAAACGCCTAGATTAACATTCTTATTTGTAAGTACCAGTTACTATGGTTGGTGTAAGTAAATTATCTCCGATATGTTTGTAACTTAATTTGACACCGCATTTGTTTAAAAAAAAAAAATTTTATTTTAAAATATATTAGGCGTAAATTGACAGTTAATTATGTATTTACTGTACGGTAACTCAGAACAGTAGAGCCTAGATTGCATATTAATAATCCTTAATCAAATTAAATTTCTCAAAAATATAAATGTACACGGATTATATTAAAAGTTATACAAAAGAAATGCAACAAAATAGCGACCTCTGCCGACACAGCGTTGAAACGCAAGAGCTTATCGAGAGTAGGCGTGAGAGCGGACGCCTCTTCGCTGAAGCAGACTGCTTTGTGCCAGCCACTACAACTTTTTATAATATGTATTACTACGCCTTTTAAAATATTATTTGTAACCACTGAGATGGATGGGTTTGATATATGTATATATTTTCTTATATCGTTTAAACAGACAAACTTCAAATACATAATGACGTTATTTATAAATTCAATCATAATATATAATAAAACAATTCACTTTAATGTATTTTAATGATTCATGAATTCATCAATAACTCACCGAGAAATTCGAGAAATTATATTATATTTGATTGGATTATTTTTGTAGGGTTCAAATTTACAGGTGGTACTTAAAGTTTTAAAATAACTTTATTATATTTTAACTTTTTTTGTGTGTCTATGGCTATTTGTTTATTATCTACGACAGAGATATGCTAAGTTTTGGCGACATTCATATTTCATACGCGTTGTTCATAAAAATACTAGTTAAAATTAAATTTCCTAGTTGATACTTTATGCGATAACCCAAAACGAAGGTTTTTTGTAACATATTTTATGTGAAACCTTTTCTACCGGCCTAAATGGCTTTAATCGGTGATGTTGTTTTAATAAACATTACTCAATATCTTAAAATGTCTATAAATAAACCAAACCGACAAAATACTAGGTACCGACATTATTAATCGTGAAACCCTTGTAAAACAATTCAAACACTAGTAGTATCTTTTGAAAAACTGAATCTATTATTACGTCGATGAAAATCAGATTAATATGTATCAAGTGATTTAACAAGAGTAACTACAGCTATCTTCTAATTTAGCTCTAATGGCGCAGTTAGCGGAAGCACTCTGAGGTCAAATCCACTGTAGCTTGTGAAGGAAATGAATTCAATTTAACATTATCTCGGTGAATTTAATGCTAGCCATTCCCGTTTTATATTTTACGATTCATTTCTAACATTGTTTCGCCTAAATAATTAGTTTACCTGTCTTTTTAGAAAGTAAATGTTAATTTTGTTTGTACCTGGCTTCATAAACATGCTGGTTTCATACCTATACATATATATTTTTAAGTATCCATGAGAAGAAACCTGAAGTATGTATGTAATTTAACATCCTCCTTCATTAATTATGAATCAATAATTACGTCTGTATGTCAACAGTCAAGATATTGATTTCGCAACATTATCCACTGATTAGTGGTTGTTCAATTCCAGAGGCTGCGACGACGTGCAGCGATCCCTTGAACTGCTGGACCAGGTGCTGAGCGAGTACGACGACTCGCCTCGATCGCTGGAGGCGCGGGGTCCTGCGCCCACGCCGCCCACGCCCGCTACGCCCGCGGACGACGATTCGCCCCTCGCCGGACATACGTCCGAGGACGATGGATACATGAGCATGAACGGACGCAGGTAACATTTGACTACTTTAGATACTAGGATGTTTATTTTATTAAATAATTCATAGTCGAATGTTTATGTAGCTAATAATATAAGTACTTCTTGCTCTACTTCACAATAGGCTATTTGACAGGATTTTTAACACCATTTCAAATGGTTTATTAGTGACTATAGAAACTATACAAATTGTTTTACATACACAAATTATAATTTTTGTTAAGTATTGGCTTTGAAAATTCATTGTTTAAAGAAGCCGCGAAAACGCAAGGCAAGATCGTATCGCCACAGTCCCTGTACCTTGAATGTAAACTCGTAAACAAACGACAAGTTTTCTACGAGATTATTGTCATCATGTCACAGTGATGTGTGCAGACCCAAAACGTTCAAATATGTCTTCTAAAAACAAATAACGATTTATATGTATTCCAAAGAATATTTAAATCTTTTGAAAGTAGATGATACTTTGTGCTAAGAGCTAATCTTAAAACTAACCTTTCCTTTACCATGATAACCTAACTTGATAAGATTTGTGAAAGTGCATCATTATTTTACCATCCCATAATAAATATAAGTTTTCATATAAACTTTTATACTACAGCAGTTTTCATATTTTTAGTTTAAAGTCCGAGTCATTTTTGGAAAAATACATATATTATATCTTTAGATCAAATACTGTCTCCGACGAAGTTTAGCATGCTACGTCATTGTCGATTCGCCTAATCCTGACCGCTGTGACGTGCTGACTATTAATGATAGACAAATTACAATTAAATTGCAATAGGTACATTATAGACAAGTTGCCTGGTTAGATGGATTACGAGCGAAAGCACTACGTAATATTTATTACGTAATTATTATTTACTTAACTAAACACGGTAAAATATATAGATCTTATCTATGCATATGTCCAAAAAAATATAAGTAGTCACCCTAATAATTATTATGAATCTCTCCTTTAATATTATAGTGAGTAAATTGAATTAAAGATATTCTGTATATAATTCTTGGATCGATCTTGGATCAACTCGTACAGCTTGCTATGGAAGAGTTCATACTTACTTTGGTCATATCGCCCGTCGCGAACCAGATAACCTGGACAAGCTGGTTGTCGTCGGCAAGGTGGAAGGCAAAATGCCGCGGGGCAGATCGCCAATCCGCTGATGTAACCAATCGACGATTCTCACGGGTCTCCCCATAACGGCTGCGCTAAGGGAAGCCGATATATAGACCGAACAAAGTAGAGAGATATCACTAGCAGGGCAGCGGGCTCCTTACAGAGACACGACCTTCAGCAATGAAAAGTACAACTGAGAAGAAGTAAATACTTACTTTGTGATGTCTATTTTATATTTCATCGAACTTCGTTTAGATATTATGTTCGTTAGCAAAGTCAAACGACTCTATTTCGTTTATTTGAGCATCGAGAATTAAATTTCTTGCAAGGTGTTACAATTGTACTGCAAAACATCAATACGCAACGTTTACTCGACGCATTTTCTTATTTCAATATAAAGCTTCCGAGGAGCCAATAACTAAATTATGCAATTGTCGATGACATTAAGCATCTTCAACCATAAACAATATTCATATTGCATATTGTTTATGATGGACGATAAACGAACTGTCAAATCGCCTTGACATGTGGCACTTTGTTTATTAATTATTTCCTGCCTTATTTTCCCGCGCTGCATTGCTTGACATGGTAATACACAAGAGGGTGTAGATAGTCCCAATTCTTCCTAAAACAAATGGCCCTGCACATATACACATTTAAACAATATATTTTTTGTATAATCTATTGAAAATAACCAATTAATATTATTGTTATCATTGCATTTACATTTGTAACCTTTTTTTCCGCCTTCGACCCGAAAAACGATTCTGGGTTAAATTAGCAATATCTTGTTTTCAACCATAAATATTAATATATAAAAATTATATATTTTATAATGATCTTCATTAGTGAAGATGACATTCATCTTTTCAAAAATTTTATCTTTCGCCTTATTCTACGTTTGTAGAAAAAACTACACTAACAATAGAAAAAATTTACTCTCCTCATTTTTCCCTAACGCACCAAAATAAGTATATATGTATATAACTTCAATATATAATACACGAATAGCTTATTGATCGATAAATAAATTTTTGACGTAATGTTTCAGAGCGAAGTTCGCGCTGGGCTTTCGACCAACAGAGGAGCGCGAAGAGCCTTCGCCCCCTGACCCTCCGTCACCGCATTCTCCACCTCCGCCAGAGGAGGCCGAGAGGATCATTTCAAACCTCTTACCTAAGTATGTTTTTTTATTTCCTACAATCTAGGTAAATAATAAAAAATTGTCTGTAATACCTGACTGCATATGTTCTGTTCAGAACTGAGATTTTAATTTTAGTTTTAGACTATTTTTATGTATTACTTAATCACGCTGAAGTGGATTGAAAAACTAAAAAATTGATTTTTTTTATGTAATACTCCTATTACCTCCTCAAACAGACAGGAGGCTCACCTGATGTTACGTGAAACCGCCGCCCATGGACACTCACAATGTCAGTACGTTGCCGGCCTTTTATGACTTGGTACGCTCTTTTCTTGAAGGACCCCAAGTCTAATACATATATAATACTTGAAGAAATAGACTTGATTTGGAATGACATCCATAGATTACGGGCCTAAAACTGGAGAAGTTGTCGAAAAACAGCAGTTTTTTTTAATCCAAGGGAGCATTTTTGTAAAGTTATTAATTTCTGTGATTACAGAGTGTCACCAGCAAATTCAGCGAAACGTACAATACCGATAGAGCGACGCGACGAGGACAAACTTGACTCAATTATCAGCGTTAATGGCATCACCACCGCAACACAAACTACTTTCGTACGTATTTATACATTTTGTTGTTGCCTGATAAACACCCTAAAGTTATCGATTAAATGTGAAGAAATCACTAGAGATTCTGTGAGCAACTAATCCTGGATATGATGAAAGAAAACATAAGCAAACCATGACATGGCGCTAAATACTATGACAAACATGTATTGGATTTTAACATACCGGAATTAAAATTTTAACGTTACTTAATGTTACCCAAAACCTTAATAAAACTCAAAAAACATGTTAGGCAAAGAAGACTGATCACTGATAAATAATAAATCACGTTTATATCTATCTATATCTATAATTTCTTATTTCAGCCAAAAACAAGGCACCAAAGGCCTTATGGTTGGGAGAAAGACACCGAAACAAACCACACTCATTTCAATCAATCACCGCCATTTAAGTTCAGTTCGCTCCAACACGGAACGAGACCGCCCCAGGAAGGCGTCATCCCGTGGCTGCCTCCGCGTCAAGTTCCCGTCAAGTCTCCCAGCTTCGAGAACCCACCGATCTTCCCATTCATGGGTTTCTCCAGCGAATTCAACGACAAGCCGTACAATGAGCATCCCGTCACCATTTATCCGGGACCCAATATATACAAATCGCCCACGTACAAACTATCCCCGTCCATAAAAATAGAGAAGAAACGAGACAGCAGGTCCGACGAAGAGATCCTGTCTCCGAAGGGAAAGATTCCTCCCCGAACTCTCGCCGGTTCTATGGAGCGACATAGAGAGGTGTGCAGAGGATCCTCAGAGGATATTGAAAAGAGAGGTGAGAGAAATGATGAGGAGCATTTCTCGGACGATTCCTTGGAGTCGTTCCCGCCGCCGCCGACCACCAACACGCCTTCGAAACGCAATTCCATAGCATGGGAAGTGTCCCTCGATGGTGATGATACTCTACTTACACCGGGTAGTACAAAGGTGAGTATCATTTATTATGGGTAAATAAATAAAAACTAGCAAACAAAATTTTAACCAACACTGATTTTATTACTTTGACTTTTACTTTCTATAACGAAGTTAACTAAAAATAAAAATACAAATTTATATACCCATCTAAAACCTTATCTTAGCAGAATAAGAGTTTTTATAAGTTGCCATACTGTGGTTTAGATACATTTTTACAATTGGAGAAATGCTTGATAATTTTTTTTCAGTGCAATTATTCATTAACAGTGAATTTATATGTGGTCGTTTTTATGTAAACTCTTAAACATTTTGACTGCAATTATTAAACGAAGTTTGACACACAACTGTATAAATTAAGAAACACTCAACAGTCATGTACCTTTAGTACCTTTTAAGCCCTTCTTAACTAACCTTACGTTTAAGTCGCCTTAATATCTTGACTAAATTTGTTTATGTAACGTCGTTATTATCTAATTTAGTTGTTTATCTAATATTAACAGTACTAACGATAATTAACATGTTTTAATATGCATTACAGGTTATCGGGAGACGTAGGAGAAAATCAGGCGACCAATCTCACTCCAGCACAAGCTCGATTCCTCAAAGGTTGGACGACGATTGGGCAGAAGAGTACTGGCCCCCTCCGCCCCCTCAGTCCCAGTGCGAGAGCCAAGCGTCACCTTCCGATGCCGAACCGGAGCTACGTCGAACCCACGACCTCTCTTGCGGCACCTACGTCATCAGAAAAGGCAAAAACCGAAAGCAGTTACCTAGTTTCGCCAAGAGCCCCAAAGCGACCGATCCCCCTAACCTAATAAAAAGCCATAGCCTCAACAGAAGCACGGACAAATCCATAGACGGATCCAGCATATCGATAAGCGGCTCGGGCTCCGTCGGCTCCTACAACTCCAGACCTAGCTCCGATCTAAGTCTACCTCAGTCTAGATATAGTGTCGACTTAAATTCTCGATTGAGTCGAGAACTCAACACTCCGAACTCGAGATATAGCATAGACTTATGTACACCCAACTCTAGAATAAGCAAAGAGATGACGTCTCCTAAATCTAGGCTCAGTTTGGATCTTAACGGACAGGATAGGTACATGAATCAGGATTACTACGGACACAGTCCCAAAAGCAGAAAGACACCGGAGAAGAGAGAACCAAAAGTTCAGAACAAACTGTCGCCGCAAAATAGATTCACCGATTTTAAGAAATATTCGTCTACTTTTGATAATATACAATCGTTGATTAAGGAAGGGAAAGTCGAGGAGGCACCTCAGAATGAGTGTAACGAGACGGTCGGTGAGCTCTCCACGGTACCGCCGAACATGGTCCGTGTCATATCTCTACCCACACTCGGGGCGGAGTCCGAGAGCAACAGTGCCAGCAGACAGGCGCTCATCACCACCGTGGAAGAAGAGGAAGACCAGGAAATCGCCGAACCGGGCTCCAGCGGGGAGACATCTCCGCTTCGGAAAATTGAAAATAATATAAGCGCTATTCTAAGTCAAGGGCGGGACCACTTTACCCCATACTTACCTAAAGACTGGAATATCCATAAGGATGAATACTGTGATGAAGTGTCTAAAGATATATTAGAAAACAGTTTCCGTTATAGTTCTAGGGAGAGGCAGAAGAGACACGATATACAGAAATCTTCGAGTCACAATGAGATTCAGAACCAGAGGTCGATCGAGAGAAGAGACCGATCTTCGGGACGAAGATCGAATAGCATGCATAAGTCTACCAGTGCCAAAGACGTGCCTGTCAGTTTGATGCGTCAGCCGTCGTCATCAGATTCCGCAGTTTCCAGCGGTGGAGACTTTCCACTAAATGTGCAAATCGTGGAACATTCCTATAGGCACAATCAGCTGCCTCCGTCGCCCAATTTGGGCCACGACAGAGGTCCTTTACCTCAAACACCAGAGTCACCCAAATTTCCGCCTTTACCGCCCTCTCCTGTACAAGAGGTTGATGATGAATACACGGAGATAATGCAGCCGACTGAAAGACGCCACACTCAGAAAGCGGACACATTACCGACGCCAACACTGGAATCGCGTAGAAGGTAACTTTACATTTCTTTTTAAATACAATTTTTAATAACGTCCAGGTTTCCATTAAATGTCCATAAAGCCTAAGCAATAATTTGTTTCATTTCATTCATTCATCTCATAGTTAAACTATTTTAATATAAGTAAGCAGTATTTACCTAGTGCCTATTAAAATAAAAGATTACGTCACTGATACAGAAATCAGAGACCCAGACTATAAAGGATGTGGCGCCGCCACTGTATTGTTTTGAATTAAAATTGCATCGATTATTTTCTCACTTTTTCGTTAATTACATAATTTTTTTATTTTCAGGCCTTCAGAACCGCCAGCCGTACCACCACATAGAGATAACACAAATAGCCTAAAAACCAGGTCGATGGAAACCAGCTATAACAAGAATAGAAGAAACAGTTCACAACATTTCAAAAGTGGCTCAACGGATAGAAGAACTCTACCCACAGGTGAGGTGTTGCCACTTCTATAGTACTTTTATACCACCAACCTATCCCAAAGATAGACAATAACTAATATATAATATATATATATATGCAGTCAGTTTCGACACCAAAAGGCTCTATTTAACTCTTCATAACGTGGCGAGGCATCTTTTTGATTATGCAATATAGTTCACAATACGTTTATTATAAATAGAGTCCTATAATAATATATCATTAGAAAAGGCCGTGTGAATGTGGAATAATGAATCTATATAAACCATTTATGAAAACTAAATCAGGCTTCACTCTTTAAACTTAAGTGCTCTTTCGTCTCTTCTGTGTATTTGTGTTTTCCTTTTGGTAAAAAGAGACTACAATTTCATCATTAAAACGTGTAATAAGACTGAAATAAAAGGCTTTGAAATTTAAACTTTCACCGAGGATAAATTATATTGAATTGCTTAATAAAATAGTGTTGTTTTTTCAATGTAATTATCACTCATTTAGCAGTTATCGCAAAATAAAATGAATAAATTACAGATACGGGAGCGAGTGGCGCCCGTCGTCGTACTTTACAGCGACAGAACCGAGACGTTTCCAGTGGTAGGGGGCAGTTGCAGACTTCCGCTAGTCTACCCGAGACGCCAGTCTTTGCTCGGGGTTGTGACGTCCCTCGCACTCCGCCTAGAAACTCAACTGGACCGCCTAGAAATAACACTATGAGTTCTATGCAAACCATAGGTTAGTTAAATACGTAACTATATTATACGTATAGATGAGACCTCTAGAAATTCGTGTATCCAGATCTCAAAAACTATCGAAACGATATTGATGAAAGTAGGGATATACGGTATGCAAGTCATATTTTATATTAAAAACATGAGCTTAAAACTTGAATAACGGCGGAAGTAGCAATGTTGGAATATCTAGAAAACTAGGATTTATCGCCGGAATCATTTGACATTCTAGATGATGGCAGTCATGAACGCCTTGTTCCTTGTTAATGTATCAACAAAAAAGTACGTTGGCATGTCTAGACTAATTTATAAAAACCATTCAAACTTTTTTTAGATGTGTCGATGCTATTAAATAATGCACAAACATAAATTCTTTCTTCATTTCATATTTAGTTAAACTGTAATGCCGCTGGTTACAGTAAAAAATTGCAACGACAAGTGGCAGGGATGCCAATAACAGTTTCCTACAATCGATATATAGAAACAAATAAATAATTGATAATTCTAATAATGTTGGACACACAAACATCTCCTTGCTTGCTTGAACGATTTTTGTGTTCATTTGTTCTGGGAATAGATCTTTATCTTTATTTTAAATACCCAAGGATTTTTTACCCAAGACCAATTCTTCTTTTTCTATGTTTTGTTATTTAAAAAATTCACTACCAACCCCCATTTTTAATATGGCATAAACGGGATTGCCGAGTCAGGTAGCCATATTAATTTTAGATAGATTAGGTATAATATTTTAAGAATGTTACTATAATGATCGATACGGTGGTCAAAAAATGTATATCAATTTATAGTCTCAATTGTAAAAAGAAATAATTATCATATTATGTTTTGGGTTTTTTTAAGCAGTTTTTTTATGTTATAGGAAGTAGTGTGACTTTGGGTGGATATGGGCGTGGGTCAGTGATGGGAGCAACGGGAGTGTGTACGGGCGCTGATCTTCTCAGGATGGGAGGACCTCCACGAGGCTGGTACCCACGACAGAGGCATAGGTAATACTTTATTATTAAGACTTAATCAAGTAGTACTCCAAGTAGGTTTAATTCCCAGTGAAACAATTATGTTTCAAATTTCAAATAATGAACATTTACTTTGAACTGTAATTTAGTATATAATGAGAAGTAATTAATTAAAAAGTATACTTGAGATATTTTTTTTAAATACAATCTAGGAACGACTGCGCTACTGGTTTTGCGATTTTCGTTTCGTTTATGAGGCAGATATTTAATATAATATTCGTTTAGTTCTATTCAATCATTGTTCAAATGTCTAGTAAAACTTGATAAGAACTCCGTAATAAATACCTCCTACTTAACTTTTATTTTACAAAGTATAAGTTAATTCTTCTTAATTTTGAGAAGTAGATAGTTAAAATACACTGTTTAGCCAGAAAGTTATACATTGGCAAATACCTAATTTAATCTCTGTCACTTCCAATAGCGATAGTAGATCCCGACTTTACTATTGAGTTTGAGCTACGCGAAATTGCGTCTTCAGCGCTAAGGATATTGATGGAACTATATTGGACAAAACGTCAGGATTGGTATCTCTATTGAAAGTTAGAGTTTGTACTCCCCCCGCTTAGAAATTATACCAAAATACACAAGAAGATAACACTAAAAAGTGCCAACTAACCTAAACTAGATCTAAACCTAATCCCGCTTTTAGGCCCGCCTCCATCGAGCATCTAGACAGAATCTCGTCATCCAAAATGGCAGCAGATCACCCAATAGCGTGGGACAATGCTGGTGCTCGCAAACCGCTAACACTACCGCCGAATTTAACCCCGAAATTCTTCCAAAAGTCTCCAAGGGAAGCGCTTCGAAGAGTAACAAGCTTATTAATACGAAAAGGTAAGTTTTAACTAATACTATCATGGGAAGGTTTCAGGTCACAGAAGCTTCGACTATAATCGAATATTTGCCCCACGAAACATGATTTTGTTTTTATTGTTATTAATTGCTTTAGCCGGTTTTTTATTTTATAAACTCTTATGAGGATAGACAAAACCGGCGATTATAGCTGTCCCTTATTATCTGTTCTATTCCGTTTGAGAACAGGCAATAAATGTATATTTATCTTTTTTTTTTTACGATAATAGCCGTTTTCCGCTCACCGACCCGGCACCCGGTACCGGTACCGGCACCGTGCTAGTGCCGGAAAAGCAAAAATGTATGTCTCGTTCACTTACCTTATTGCCTTTTGCCGGCGACGGCCCGGCGTTAATTCCCACCGGTTAAGCAAGCTTCCCACTCCTGCTGGATCGGCAAAACTCCATGTCTACTGGATATGAATTGTTTCTTCGGTCATGCGAAAATAGTTTAAGAATTATTTGGGGTCAATTTTCAACTTTTCAAATGGGGTATAAATATGTTCCTTCTAAGTATCTCTCATTAGTATTGAATGTCCAAGACAGAAATATTAAAGAATATAAACACAAGAGCATAAGATATCAGGAAAACTATTATTGTTTATATACTGCTCAAAACAATTACTGGAACAAAACTTTAAAGTAGAACTAAACTTTTTACTTAAGGTTTTAATTATTACTGGCCACTAGATAATGTTAAGGCATTGTCGAAGAAAATAAAAAACAAAAGAGCATCGGCGTTTTGGTTAGTAGTCCTATAATAAAGTGGCAGTGTGTCTAGAAACACCTAAAAACAAAGTGACGTCTTTGAATTTTCATTACTTTCTAATCACAGAAAACACATTTTAAGTAGTTTTTTTCAATCTTTTGAGTATTAATAGAAATTGAAGTGAGCCTTTTGAGTATTGTTATTCATTGAAGCGAGTGAGTTTAGGTCATAATGCCAGATCTGACTGAATTGCATGTCTCCCGAGCTATCGCTTTGCTTGAAGAGGGTCGAACTATGCGTTATGTAGGAAATGATCTAGGAGTAGCCCCTTCTGTTATCTACAGACTTTGGAAGCGATACCGTGAGACGGGAGAATACTCACGAAGGCGTGGTCAAGGTCGAAAGAGAAAAACTACACGTTTGCAAGATCGCTACATCGTCAACTGTGCTTTATGTAACCGCACCACAACTGCAAGAGATCTACAAAATACACTAAGGACGGCTACTGGTGTAGAAATTTCCGACCAGACGGTAAGAAATAGGTTGTTGGAAGCCAATTTGAGATCACGCCGACCAGTTTGGGCTGTGCGTCTAACAATTCAACATAGACAAGCTCGCCGACAGTTCGCGCAAAATCACGCTAATTGGCAACTTCGACATTGGAGGCCAGTGCTTTTTACTGACGAATCACGATTCCGTCTAACACGTTGCGATGGTCGTCTCCGTGTTTACAGACGCCCAGGCGAGCGATACAGTGCAGCAGCAGTCCAGGAATATGACAAATTTGGATGTGGCTCTGTGATGGTTTGGGGCGGAGTTAGTTTGGACGAGCGCACAGATCTCGTCGTTGTTCCCGGGCGCTTGTGTGCTCAAACTTACATTGAAAATGTGCTCGAAGATCATGTTTGGCCCGCAGCATATGGTATGGGCCCAGATTTTCTTTTAATGCAAGATAATGCCAGGCCGCATACTGCAGCCATCACGTCAGATTACTTACGACAGCAGGAAATCCGTGTAATGGAGTGGCCTTCCATGAGCCCTGACCTAGATCCAATTGAACACATTTGGGACTTGCTTGACAGGCGCATCCGGAAGCGTCCGATTGCACCTCAAACACTGCAGCAGCTCACTGAAGCGTTGATTGAAGAATGGGAGCGAATTCCACAAGAAGATATTCGGAGGATCATACGAAGCATGCCGCGTCGTTGTCAAGCCGTGATTAGGGCTCATGGAGGCCACACACGTTACTGAAAGTCACTAAAGACGAATATTCAAACGATATAAGAATATTTCTTTGATGGACCTTTTTTATCACCAATTAGTTTTTCGTCTACAATGCACATTTTAATTTTTTTAATAAAAAAAATACAAATTGATTTTTTTTATTAATTGTAGTAATTAACAAATTAACAAGGTAAAAAATAGCGTACAAGTTAATTTAAATCTTATTTTAGTTTAAGCAATAGAAAGGAGAAAAATCTTGTTCCGCTAATTGATTTGAGCAGTATATATAATAAATAATATCGGATAACATTGAACCCACTGATTTGCCATACTTATATTTTTTACTATACAATTAACATTGAACGATGTATCTTTGCTTCGTTTAGTTCCAATTACGCCCACAGAGCGATGCTCTTGTTATCTATATAAAGATTCCTAATTTGTAGTTAACGGTCAAATTTATAAATGTATTTGGCGTCAATTATGATATTTTACACATTTACTCGTAAAATGACAAGATTGTTCAAACTATCAAAGAGCTACTTGAGGTTTGTAAAGCGGCGGTTTTTGTTTCTTTCTAATTAGTTAATCAAAATACGGTTAATACTTTTTGATTCAACCTTCATCTTTTTGGATCAAGACATGCCGGTTTCCGGTTAAATGCGCACATTGACAGAGAATCCAATGATTCACAGCCGAGATCGAACCTATGAAGCCAGGGATGAGAGTCGTATGTTGAAGTTGGCCGACAATGCTTCATGTGTGTCATGAAGCATTGTTGGCCAACTTGTTCTTCCAAAACCCTCGGGCAAAAAGCAAGTGGGCTTTAAGTAAACTATACGATACATTTTTACAATGAAAACATACTTTTTGTAGTACGTGTTTAATCATCATAATTGTTTTGTGTCACAGGATGAGTCAACTCCTGACTATTCAGGCTGTAACATAAAATTTCGAAAAAAAGTCCATATTGACTCAACTTTTGATTGAACGACTCTTATAATAAATGTATTTTACTAAGTTGTACAAGAAAATATACACTTTATCAAATACAATTTTAAGCTCGTTCTGTCCCTTTTGTAAATAATTCACGCGTAAAGCCGTGTATAGCGATCAAAGGTCAACTTTATTTTTAAAAAACCAATCGTCATCGTTCCACACAGTTTGAGTAAAATAAACATCGCCCACATTAAATTAGCTAGGCAATAAACTTTAAACATTTTCTGGTTTGTTAATTCGTACTTCTATTAACAACTGACGGCTTCGGCTTCGCACCAGTGCTCAGTTTAGCAGTGTATCGAGATGAACATTTTTTTAAATAACAGTTATTTTAGCTTTATAAAAACTAGATAAACTAAAATTTATATGGAATGTTTTGTCCTTATCAGTTACGTATAAATAAGCGTGACAAAACATTCTGTAACTATTTTAACTATGGACGTTATACCTGTTGTGTGTTTATACTGTATACGTATAAAACCTGTGGAGGAAGAAATGTCAAAATGAAATTGTTTCGACCTAAAGGATGCGTTCTTGTTCAGTCTAACCACTGTTCGGTTCGAAGGCCTCAGTGGCTGTTATCGTGATAAAGTATATATTATGCACTCAACACGTGGAAACATCCTTGTTCGGATTGTAGATGTCGCTACAAACCGGTATCATTTATTCATTTTTAAGTTATTATACGTTAATTAACATGGAACATCCCAAACGGAATTTGTTATGCTTTTCAACTTGTAAAGGAATTTATTCGAGCATTATCCTTACAGGATTGAATGGTTATTTATACACGATCTTCAAAGGAGACCTCTAAATCCTACTTGTTCTATATATATTTTAAAATACCAATCAATTATTAATCATAATAGGTAAAGCTGATGTAGGGTATATTTATTTTCGATTTATAAAAAATAACCTGTATGTTACCATATATCTACCTAACTGCTATGGCTTGCCGGTGTATGTAGTAAATATAAATAAGTTAATTTTACGTAAGTAGAATCCGAGGATTTATGTACATATTTATATGTAATCCTATGAACTCTCAGACTTATTCGGTTATGAAACTGCTATTTGTATCTTAGATAGTAAACAGGGCCCATGAAAGGGCTGCAGTTGTACAGAGACTTCCAATAGCGACACTGATCTCCACCTTTTTGTATGGAATGTCGATTTATTTCTCAATATTTCGCTCATCGAGCGGTACGAAAACTCACCTTTGAAGTCGAAATGGTAATTGAAAGTTACAGAGTACTTACTGCCTTGCGATTCTGTAACTCACTTTTCGAACTCGCACAGCGGTTTTCGCAGCGGCGGTCGCGCTCAAATCAGTCGTGAAGCAGTCATTTTATGATTTGGCATTCTGATAAACAATAAACTACAAGCTACCTCCTTATTTGACTGCCTAATCGTAAAATGACTGCTACACGACTGATTTGAGCGCGACCGCCGCTGCGGAAACTGCTGTGCGAGTTCGAAAAGTGAGTTACAGAATCGCAAGGCTCGCCTTAGGTCTTAACTATTTACTAGAAAATAACGCTTTATTATTTTTATGAGTTTTTAAGATCCCTATCGTAGGTGTAATGTCCCAAGCGTGTTCGTCTTCTATCTATTCATTAAAAGTAATATTTGTATTTTACGGCACTGTCAACATATTATATGAAGGTAGCAAGATTTTAGGATATTTTTTCAAAAACTCTTATTCAACTTCACTGTGAACATAGTTTTGAAGTTTGCAGTTAAAAAAAATTCACTAAAAACTTTTTAAAAAATTAGAAAAGGACAACCAGCGCTAAATTTATTCTTACAACAGTTAGTTAAAACACCTAGAGATGGCGCTATCAGTTTCAGATATGAATAAAATTCAACGACGACAAAATTACAGCGGTTTCTATCAGGAACACGTCATATTACACCTATAAAATATATCGTTTTCCTGAATTCCATAAACAGGATAAAGATATTTATATATAATTAGAAACATTAATCGTGAATATACTTTTAATATCCCGCTTTATTATAAACGACTTATTATCTCCAACATTAATTAT